ACTGAAATTGTTGCATGTTAACCAGTTTGTTGTTGAAGCTGTGTTTTTCATTTTTAGAGATATTTATAAGCATGTACAGGAAACACACTCTACGACTACTGCCGAATGAAATCATTTGTACCATACCTCGAAAGTGTCTACAGTAACAAATGGGAAAAGAAAAAAAAAATCCACACTTCCAACTGTATCATTTGGAATTAAAAATGCCCCTCTTTTTCGCAAAGTGCGTCTCGAGTGCTCGAATTGTGTTGGATTTTGCTGTGCTAAAAGCAGCTTGCACACCAAACAATGTTTGGGGTTCTGTATTCCACATGGACACGAGAACATTTCATTCAGTCACACTCTCTACCTTAATGTTGGAAGCCAGGCCGAACTGCGAAACATCCCAATTTTACACAATCATGTGAAGTGGGGAATCGTCTCAAGTTAGAGTATCAATAACTAATAGGCAATCATTTACCAGTTAAATATTATTACCCCTAAATAGTGATATGTAAAAGCAATGGTAATTGACATGGTTGGATTTTGTTGTGGAATTTTAATGGCAGATTTGTTTAAGCTTGGAAGTAATTCCATTGGTGGCAAAGAATAATCATTGTGAACCTACATGTGCTCTTATCATCTCCTGTTTCGTTCCCCAGACGCGTGCGCTGATTTGACCGGCATGGGAAGCAATAACTGATAGGCCAGAGAATGTGTAGAGAGAGAAGTGAGAAAAAAAGAGAGAAAAGTAGAGGCAAAAGGAAAAATTGAAGTAATTAGAGGCAAAAAATACAAAATCAGAATGAAGAACTAGGAATGTTACCGACCTCCTTACTTTTCAGGCTTGGTGCCACAAAGCTGCCTTAGTTTCTTTTTAATGTTGCAATCTACCATGAATTTGGGCGTGCATGCCTAATCCAAGAGCTACTTTACTGCCCGCAACTCCTAATCAGTGTTGTAATTGAAAGGGAGAATCCCAATTCACTAATAGTGGCGTTGAGAGTGAACAGTCTTGCACGATTTGTGAAACTTCGATAGTGTGGCCACACTAGAAATAAGTAATGCCACTCGGCGAGCGCAACAAGCACAGTTGGGTTTGACAGTGCTACTTCATGTAGTGGGCAATCAACTTGGGGAATTTTCTGCGAGCGTAGAATAAGGCCTCGTAGAATTCGGACGTGCAGATGAGCTTACAAAGGGGTCGTATGTGCGCACTTGCCGAGATTACACGGCCTAGGTCATTATCATTATCAACCTGACTACGCTCGCTGCGGGACAAAGGCTCGCCCATGTTTCGCCAGTCAAATGGATCTCGTGCTTACTGCTGCAACTTTATACCCGCAAACTTCTTAATCTCATCTGCCCACTTAAATTTCTGTCTCCCCCTCACCCACTTGCCTTTTCTGAGAATCCAGTCTGTGTTCTTTAATGACCAGCAGTTATCTTGCCTTCACACTGCGTGCTTTGCCTATTACCATTTCTTCCTGATTTCGACTGTGATGTCCTTCACCCCGGTTGGTTACACGACCCATTCTTCTAGTCTCTTAAGGTTGCACCTATCATTTTTCTTTCCGTTGCTCGCTGCGTCGTCCTTTGCTTAAGTTGAACCCTCTTTGTGATCCTCTACATTTCTGCTCCGTAGGTAAGTACCAGTAAGATGCAGCTGTTATATACCTTCCCCTTGAGCAGTAGTGGCAATCTAACATTCATGATTTGAGAATGCTTGCCGAATGTGCTACACCCCATCCTTATTATTCTACTTACTTCAATCTCGTGGTTTTGCTCCGCGGTTACTACCTGTTTGAAGGAGACTTACTCTTTTACAACGTCAAGTGCACTGCTACCTATCTCGAAGCGCCTGGGTTAATCATGTTTTGTAGTGATGGGAAAAATGTAAGACAAATTTTAAAAAAATTAATCAATGCGACAGCAACGAATGGTTTCTTCGTAACAAAGGCTAGCAGCTTGCTCCTTTAGCAATCATGGACGTTGCATCGAGCGGAGTGGCCTTCTTGTGGACTGCGGCATCAACGCAGGGTTTTCACTGGTGGCTACTTTTCACTAAATTGGTGAATTTGAGAGGCCTGTGGCAATGCCATAGCAACCTAAAATTACGAATGGTGACATGGCGAATTTTAGGCAATTTTTTGCCTAGATCTTGACTGAGTTATGTATTCTGTACTCAGTGTCTTCTAAACAAATGGATGACAATGTATTTTTTAATCTTTCGTAGCCTTAGACCCACCGGTAGAAGGCGCTGTTTATGAGGAGTTCAGACTACGACAGTACGGCGTCTAGATTCTGAAGGCACTGGTGCGTCTGTCGGCAACCTTCTATCAAAATTTAGGTCAGCGGACTACTTCATGTGCTGTGAGACGGTGGCGTTGTACTGTTCTTTAGGTGCTTTAAGAGCATAAGGCTTTTGTAAAGTTTCTGTAGTAGCTAGATGATGATTAGGCCACGTGTTTCAACCCCAACTCCAACTGTTCTGAATAGATTGTTGACTTCTTCACTGCTGTAGTACCCTACCCCCTACTCTAGAGTTTATATTTTGCTATATATTAACATACTTTCCTGGTCGGCAGTGAAGTTGGCTTTTTGGGGGCATTCAGAAGCTGCACTGAGGCAAATGTGTAGTGTAAAAATCACCGCACAGAAAGCGCAGTGAGGGCATTGCGACTGTTATGCAATACCCATTGTTTTGTAATTAAAGTTGTTCAAATATAGGAGACTTCATTTCACCACAGTGGAATTCTCTAAATCTGCAGGAAAGTTACGCACACTGTTCCTCTCTTGTAGCAACTGCTACACTGTATTCTCTACAACTGAAGCCATCACAAACTTTTGTTATGTAAGCATTCAGGGACGCTGCTTCGTTTTTCTAATGTGACTGGAATTAGAAGAAAGTAATAATTTGGGTTATGAATGGTACTGTACCTACTCCACAAGACTGTACACAACTGGCTATTTTTATTACTAGACATGCTGCAAATATGTAGTGTGCCGACTTTTTTGGCGAAATTTGAATAAAAATGGCGATTTATCGCGAATTCCACTAGCAAATTTGTGACAATCCTGCTTTAATGCAAACGATGCGATGAAATCACACCACACAGAAAACCATGAGCCATTTTCATGGCTTTCTCAACCTCAAATGGCTTTCTCAAACAACCTCATCGGATAAACATGCCAACACAGGCGATCATGGTCTGTGCTGGCGAAAGATGGGTGGAGCGGTAGCGCCTACTTTGGCCTTATGCGCAACCTCTCTGGTGATAGCAAGCAGCTCTCTACCACGCCGAAACACCTCACATTTTGCATACCACCAACAGTAAATGATATACATAAATAGCTCGCCGCCAGTATGCTAGATTTAGAGAATGTGTGTGTGGCTTAGTTGAATGTGTTGCACTGCGGAGGGATGGGGTCTTGGGTTCTAATCCCCGATTTAGCACTTCTGGGGAAAAAAAATGGGGAGTTTTATACACACAGACATACTTATATGGCATGGTGGCAGCAGAAACCTGTGAGAAGTGTCTGTCTATTTGCTATAAAAAAAAAATTCTGTAATTTAAAACAGTTCCATGGAGAGTGCGCTGTGGCGGTGTCCTGCACATTGCTGTTCCAAGCAGCGACTTGCTGTCCGGAGTCACGTGACTGCAGTTTGGTTAGGTTTCGAGATTCGTGCGCCCTCCGGTTCGCGCTGACCGACGGATAGAGGGGTGCGCGGGAGAGAACACAACCATATGAATGGAAGGAGGAAGTGGGGGAAACTGACATTGGCTGAACTTGGTTAAAAACGGACGCAGGGTTGTTTTTTTTGGGGGGGTTATAGCGGGAGGAATATAGAGCAATCGTGCTGCAATTATTTAAGTTTGATGGACATCGCCACGTGTAAACCTGCCTGGGTGTAGCAAACTGCAAAACACAGATCCGTTAATAATGTAGTGATAAGTGGTATCTTCAAACGTACTAAATTGCGTGATTAAAACACTGGTCACGTAAGTCACACACGTAAGCGCGAACATTAGGAATCCTGCGGAAAACTGCACAAATAATCCCTGGCTTTAGGTGAGCAGGAAAAAAAAATATTGTGTTATGGTCACAGCAAAATGCCTATATATTGCTGGGCATAGGTCAGCAGAACTTAACTCAGACTCGCTCAAGAAATATATCTCGCGCTGTGGACTCATGCTGACTCGAACTCACCGAAGTTTTCCTGAGCCGTACTTGCACTCGCACAAATTTTCTTCGACCGAACTCACTTGGACTGAAACTCACCAAACATCACTCGCCCGGAGTTACTCAGACTCGCAACCTGATACGAGTGAGCTGACTCACAAGTCCTCTAGTGTAGAAATAGCTTTTGCAATCATAGTGTGAATGCTCTTTAATACAAATATCTCATGTCATGGGTGCCCTTCTTCACGCCTTTTGATATAATACCTTTGAATACGAGTGTTGTGAGTGCTCGCAAACCAGTAAGGTAATTTTTTTTAAACAGAGGACAACATAGGGGATATTTATCCAGAACTTCCCAGAAATAGTAGGTGGGGGCAGGGGTCAAGGCACTTCCTAGGTAATGCATTGCTCTAACTAATAAACATTTAATTGGTGTATGAACTGTAATGCTTTGGAATATGTGCGAGTAGACGTCGGTAAAAAGGCGAATCTCAGTAAGGCCGATAGTAATGCTGTATATGAGTAGATAGGTCCATAGGTCAGCAAAAAATTTTAAACTCCCTCAGACTCGCCCAAGAAATATATCTTGTGCTTTGGACTCACGAAAAGCTTCTTCAACCACACTGACTCGCCATGGTATCACTCACCTGGACTCTCTCAGACTAAGCTCACAGCATTATTTAAGATCAGTGAGTCCACTCGTGAACGAGTTCGCTGACCTGTGGGAGTTGTAGATGTCTTTATTTTTTATTTTTTTTTTCTTTTCAAACAGTGCAAGTACTATTTTACCCCGTGGAAGACAGCGTAACTATACTGAACCATTTCACAACAGTCTATTTAGCTTCTGTGGCATCATGTTTATTTACATATGAGTAATGATGTTTCTGCAGAATGAGGGTGAGGTGAGGGGCTATCTACTGAGCCGCAGAAACATGGCGTGCTTGCATTCCTTGGAGTCGGCGGGGAAGTACTTGTCGTAAAAGTCCAGGATGAGCTCCTCCACCTTGAATCCAAACTTCTGGTACAGCAGCACTGCTTGATTGGTCGCAGACACGTGTAGCGTGACGTCTTTTCCCATGCATGTCTGCACAAAGAAGAAAGTGCGGGTTTACATTTGCTGCTAGGCCCTTTGCTCATGTCCCGACATGAAGCTTACAGCTACCATGGAGCACTGTTTATACATACAGTAGACTCTCATTAAATGGAATGTGAAGAGGGCATGAAAATATGTTCCATTTAACAGGAGTTCTGTTTACTGAGAAATGAATAAGGCAGCAAAATGGAAATAGGAAACGAATCGTTCCACTTAAGCAGCAGTTTTGCTTAGTAGAGTTCTGTTTACTGAGGGTCGACTGCATATGCCTACACCTGTTCAAGCTTGCGTGTCTTGGTACTGGCCTGCGCCTGTCGTATATCTTCGCATGGGTGGCATGCAGGATCTGTACGTGCAAGGTCTCGACAAACATTTTTAGGTATCAAGTTCTGTGTCCACTAATCGTGGTTGGTTGAGAGAAATTGCACGTGCACCAAAAACAGCCAGGCCTGCACGGAATGTGCAGCACAGTCACTGCAAAATCTGGAAAAGCAGCCTTGCAGAGCCTTTTTTTGAACACTTTGGGTAACTGCTACAAGCACACTTGCAGGTACCCACTACACCATTAACCATCATGATTTTTGAGTAGCAGGGAGGAATTCATTATACCATCCTTTGTCATTCTTCCGAGAGCATGATACCTACTACACACTTGCAAGAAATTCTGTGCAATTTTTTGATGCTGTGGCTGACTATGACGAAGGATTATGCCTGAAGCTTTTGTAATGGGTTGAATCATTCAATGACCCACTCGTTACGCGATTCGCTTTGAGTGACGCCTAGTTGTTCCTTTGCTGTTCAAAACACTTTATAATACTCATATTAACGCGATTCCTTCCTCGACATCAAGCCTGCCCAAGGCCAGTTTGCAATAGAGCTTGAAGCACCAGCGAGGCTTCGTGGTAGACTAGTTGGCTGGCACGCAGGGTACCCGGGATCGCATCCCATCGAGTATTTGGTGTTTTTATTTACTCTTTTTTTTATTATTTTGCGCGATAGTGATTGCGGACAACGGCGGCGGCAGACTACTACGGCGCACGTGGCTCTTGTTGTGATCTCATAACAGCTTTCGCAGTAAAAGTTGTGGCAAGGTCAAGTTTTGCTTTCAACTTCCTCAGATGGATGATGATGAATTAACTTTATTGAATATCCGGCGAATAGAGAACCGGGCCTGGGGTTGCCTGGATGGCTGCTTGGAGCTGTTGTTCCCGTGCTGCCTCCAGGGCTCGCTGGACGGCCTGAGGTTGATTCGCGAGTTCTGAGCTTTGCAGCACAGCCTACCACCACGCCCACAGATCTTCCGAAGAGACCGCCATTTGATCTTGATATAGTGGACATCCCCACAACATGTGTTGAAGCGTGGCTCTACCAGACTTGTACAGCTTCCTCAGATGGAGGTTTTTAAGAAACATGCCATGGGGAACAGGCATGGGCATGAGAAGGTACGTGGGCATGAATTGGCAGCTTTCAGCACTCTCCAAAAGCTTAGCTAATGCTCTTTGGTGTACCTTTACCATAATGGCTTGGGTACTTGTGCAACGTAAGTACCTATTATACTCTGTAGAAGACAACATAATGGTAACTATCCTGAAATTGGGTACGCTTCTGTTGTGCCTTCGATACCACTCTTCGCCGCCAAGTGGTGTTGAGCTGACCGCCAGTTCTCGTGGCATTGCGAATATACGAGCGTTCGCAAGACCTATTTTACACATTCCTCAAGCTCCTCCTCACACTACCCTGTGACCTTCAGAGTGCCATCTAACCAGCTTGTGCACAGCTCCACTATAGGTCACATTATGTGGCCTTTGTTACGTCACCTTTGCTTCATAAGAACACTGAATATTGATATCTCTTATGACTGATGTTTGGGACGCCCCTATTCTACGTTTGCATTTTCCAGCAAGGACTGTCACACGACAAAGCTGAAATAAACTAATAATGATGTTAATTGCAATTACTACCTGAATCAAGTGGTAGAGCATGAACTTTGCAATGCCCGATCTCCGCCACTCGGGGTGTGTAAAGATGAAGGGGATGTACGCCTCGTTGAACTTGACGTCGGGCACCATGAAGGCGAACCCCACCACTAGTTTCCTGAAAGACGTTAAGAAAGCTTTAATTGGGAGACTCACGTTTGCTTCATAGATGAACTGAATAATCAATATGCTAGTCTGTATACTTTAACTTCCCTTCATTAATTACTATCTTCTCTTATGTTAACCACATCAAAATACCTCCAGTCTCCTAGTGCTTTGTGGTTAAGAACGGCGCAAGAATATGAAGCACCAAACGAAGAAAACAGAAGGACAGGTGCCGTACTCGCAACTAATCTTTATTCACCTCGACTCACATATATAAGGTACGTGGTCACAAAACAAAACCATGTGATACAACACGCAAGGTTTTATTATGCTTGTCTACTTAAATATGACAATTCTTTTTGTTGTAGGGCAATGGCTAGAATTCTGATACATGAGTTACTGTTAGAAATGTGAAAAGCCTCTATGTTTTCGCGAGTTGTCTTTTCATTACTCCTAGCGAGGATGCTAGTTCTTCTAAACTGAGAGGCGCAACCACACTCTTTCCAATGCGCATCGGTATGTGAAAGGGCGCCGGTGCGACAGTTGGCCTCGCGTTCCCCCATCTTAGATTGACGCACCTACCGATTTGTCCTATGTACATTACAAGACAAGGGAAGCTTGTACACCACTCCCGTGGCGCAGTCACGGAGATATATGGTGTTTTTGTTCGTGTGGCGTCTCGTGTTCTTGCGCCATTCTCAACCATGAACCCGCACCAACTTGCCCAACTATCAGTGCTCCGAGTGCTTGCCAAGCAAATGCATGTGACATTCAAATCATGACCTCCACCCAGGAATAATAAGACCTTATAAACTGAGTGCTCGCCCCGTTAAGTTGAGGTGAGTACACTAGCAGTTCGCTTAAAGTTGCTGTAGCAATAGCAGTGCTTACCTGTACATGGCGACGCAGCTGAAATCAGGGTACTGGAGGCTTTCAGACACTGCAAAACGTGAATGAGTGGGGAAGGTTAGGACAAACTTTGGTTTTCTCCTTCTTGGGACATAGTAATGCAAATGCCTTTTGATTGGTTACTGTGGATCAATAGCTTTGATAAGCACCGTATGGCTTTGAACATGGCTGATTAGCACCGGCTTTTTTAGTGGCGCAGATTTTCATGCAGTTACATAGTGCAACAGTGACACAGTGGCAGTCTTCGTAGGCAACCGATGTTCCACGATTTTGTATCATCAAGGTGTTTTTCCATCCCTGTCAACATTTGGTACTTATCACTTGTAATCATGTGTTATGGTCTATAGCCATGCCAAAGTGCCCGCAGTCAAAGCATTTTACTGATGAAATCCTATTTTATTGAAAAGGACTGAGGTTGTTGCTTAGGTGAGCCTCTCTGGTGCTGCTTGCTGTTGTCTCATACAGTGTGCACATCTCACTTAGCCAGGATGGCATGCATACACGCTATGGCCCAACAAGACTGGTGCCTTTCAAAAGTTAACCACATGGTGCTTTGAAGAGCTCTAACTACTGTCAAACCTTGACATATCAAATTTTCCATTACAATGAGGCAAATGGGGATTTGTGTTGCCATTCATGCAGTGCTACAAATGTACGTCTGTAATGAAGCCATTTTCGTATCAAATGTGACTTCATTGCAATGAGCTTTTTGCTATATGTAAAAAAAAAAAAAAAACACAGATATGTATGCCTGATAGAGCACTGCACAAGCCAATTTTTCTGGCCCAGGCCTGGCCTGACCTGAAACGCCATGCTCTGGCCCGCCCGAGGCCGGCCCGGTATCTTTAGTTATGGCTCATAAGCGGCCCCGAGGCCAAAAGGCACAGCCTGTTTCAGCCTATTACGCTTTGAGGAACTGTCCAGTCTTTGGTTATTGTTAATATATCTGCCGCACACAAGAAGTGTTTTGAACTACTTTCTTGTGTCACAAATTTTACTAGTTCTGTCTATACTTCCGGTTAATTACACCCGCAACGCTATTGTAAAATAATGGCAGGGCAATATAAACTATAATTGTGGTCATAGTTTGCTCTCTCATGTATGCCGTGCTAGCTATGCAATCTCAGTTTTGCATTTCAAAGAATGACAACTAAATATAATGCCCCCATGAAGTGAAAAAAATTTACAGACATTTATAGTTGTAATCTACATAAACTGCATACGAGCTGGGGCTGTTGATTAAAAGTAGCAAGTCTCCTGCAAATTTCATTCATTCCACAATGCAATGAAAAAAATATAAAACATGCTCTAGCTGCTTTTGGGAGGAATACACCAGGCTGGGCAGCATTACATAAATTAAAGCAGTCGTCCTGACTCCTCCGTATAAAATGTCCCCAACGTTCACTATGTTTTCACACTAGGAACAGAAGCTTCTTTGCCCCACCATTCTTCCCAAAGTCATTGTCACCGCAGTGTCATAGATTTGTCAAAGTGAGCCACACCCGTTAGTTAGCCACTGTCCTTAATGCTCCCTGAAGATGCCTGTATCACTGTCTTCCTGGGACTTGCCTTCGATCTTTGAAAGTGTTAATGATGCCTTGAAGCTTTCAAGACAAGTGTCTACTAGAGCGCCGAAGATAACATCGGCTGCTTTTTCAGCACTCGCTATGGAACGCGGTGTGTCGGGTGTCTGGAGCACGATTGCCCCGGAGTGACCGGAAGTGGGAGAGTGGCTTGCCTAGGCGCCGATGGCCGAGACCTCGGTGCAAGGGAGGAGAGAAGCCTAACGTTTGTGGCACGCAGTTGTGGTTGCAGACTTGTAACTTGTGGCACCGACAATCGAGGAGAATGAGATGTGTGGTGAAAAGAAAAATATGGCAACCATAGTGAGGAACAAAGGTGGATGGCAAAGAAAAAGCCACATGTCCGCCAGAGACACTTCGATGAGACAAGCGACAGGGCATTCTTGAAATTTTTAACATGTCATACGTGGTACAAGTGGCCCTCTGAAGTCCCTAATGCAGCAACTATGCAGCTTGCGAAACTAAGCGACCAAGCAGGTTGGACCTCTGGGACACCAAGGAGAAATAAGGTAAGCACGTAAACCTGTACTATAACTTTTACGAGACTAGGGCCTCAGTCACACGGTTACAATGTGTGCTACTTTACTGTTAATTTCCCAGAAAATGGCAGAAGTTGGGGAAGTTTGAAAGGTACGAAAACTTCTCGACAGGGGGTGTCGCTGGAGCGTTTAGACATTTATGTGGTAAAAGGTGTTCGTACATTGGTGCCAATACCCCCTCCCTCCCTGTTACAAAGGCTGGCAGCAGCAAATTACCATCATAATCATAACCTTTCTGGAGCTCTCAGCAGCCCTTCACCTCTTTGAGCGCAATGAGAACTCTAGCGCTTCGACAAATGAGACGCTTATGAATTACTGATGAATGTAACAGATTTTAATAACACTCGTTGGCTAGTTATGCATTGTATCAACAAAAAGATTCCAGCCAAAAAGCAATGAATAAACAGAAAAATACAAAAAAGAAGACTGGAAAGTGGCTAGACTACTCACGACACGAGGTTCAAGTATGTAAACTCATGCGGTCACATGGTCATTTTGCAATCTCTTTACAAAAAAATTCAAGATACAATAGACAAACGTACAATCACTGTACATAATCTTCGTAATATTATTCACTCAAAATTATAGAAAATATTGCACAAAATTTTTTTTTCTTCCTGCGCAATGCCACAGAGCTATCACAGCAACATGCCTCATCGTACTTTCCATTGTGAAATGATTCAAGTATATAGTATTTCACGTGCCTTTTTTTTTTTATGGCTTCTGCCCCAAATCCTGATTTCATTCAGCACGGGTTTCCGTTTGTAATGTTTACAATGAAGGGCTAAATGCAAGCCTGTTCCTTTCTGCAATGATGTAAAAAAAAAAAAACACAGATATGTATGCCTGATAGAGCACTGCACAAGCCAATTTTTCTGGCCCAGGCCTGGCCTGACCTGAAACGCCATGCTCTGGCCCGCCCGAGGCCGGCCCAGTATCTTTAGTTATGGCTCATAAGCGGCCCCGAGGCCAAAGGCACAGCCTGTTTCAGCCTATTACGCTTTGAGGAACTGTCCAGTCTTTGGTTATTGTTAATATATCTGCCGCACACAAGAAGTGTTTTGAACTACTTTCTTGTGTCACAAATTTTACTAGTTCTGTCTATACTTCCGGTTAATTACACCCGCAACGCTATTGTAAAATAATGGCAGGGCAATATAAACTATAATTGTGGTCATAGTTTGCTCTCTCATGTATGCCGTGCTAGCTATGCAATCTCAGTTTTGCATTTCAAAGAAGGACAACTAAATATAATGCCCCCATGAAGTGAAAAAAATTTACAGACATTTATAGTTGTAGTCTACATAAACTGCATACGAGCTGGGGCTGTTGATTAAAAGTAGCAAGTCTCCTGCAAATTTCATTCATTCCACAATGCAATGAAAAAAATATAAAACATGCTCTAGCTGCTTTTGGGAGGAATACACCAGGCTGGGCAGCATTACATAAATTAAAGCAGTCGTCCTGACTCCTCCGTATAAAAATGTCCCCAACGTTCACTATGTTTTCACACTAGGAACAAGAAGCTTCTTTGCCCCACCATTCTTCCCAAAGTCATTGTCACCGCAGTGTCATAGATTTGTCAAAGTGAGCCACACCCGTTAGTTAGCCACTGTCCTTAATGCTCCCTGAAGATGCCTGTATCACTGTCTTCCTGGGACTGCCTTCGATCTTTGAAAGTGTTATGCCTTGAAGCAAAATGCGACTCAAAGCTTTCAAGACAAGTGTCTACTAGAGCGCCGAAGATAACCAGTCGGCTGCTTTTTCAGCACTCGCTATGGAACGCGGTGTGTCGGGTGTCTGGAGCACGATTGCCCCGGAGTGACCGGAAGTGGGAGAGTGGCTTGCCTAGGCGCCGATGGCCGAAGACCTCGGTGCAAAGGGAGGAGAGAAGCCTAACTGTTTGTGGCACGCAGTTGTGGTTGCAGACTTGTAACTTGTGGCACCGACAATCGAGGAGAATGAGATGTGTGGTGAAAAGAAAAATATGGCGACCATAGTGAGGAACAAAAGGTGGATGGCAAAGAAAAAGCCACATGTCCGCCAGAGACACTTCGATGAGACAAGCGACAGGCATTCTTGAAATTTTTAACATGTCATACGTGGTACAAGTGGCCCTCTGAAGTCCCTAATGCAGCAACTATGCAGCTTGCGAAACTAAGCGACACAAGCAGGTTGGACCTCTGGGACACCAAGGAGAAATAAGGTAAGCACGTAAAACCTGTACTAATAAACTTTTACGAGACTAGGGCCTCAAGTCAACGGTTACAATGTGTGCTACTTTACTGTTAATTTCCCGAAAATGGCAGAAGTTGGGGGAAGTTTGAAGGTACGAAAACTTTCTCGACAGGGGGTGTCGCTGGAGCGTTTAGACATTTATGTGGTAAAAGGTGTTCGTACATTGGTGCCAATACCCCCTCCCTCCCTGTTACAAAGGCTGCAGCAGCAAATTACCATCATAATCATAACCTTTCTTGGAGCTCTCGCAGCCCTTTCACCTCTTTGAGCGCCATGAGAACTCTAGCGCTTCGACAAATGAGGACGCTTATGAATTACTGATGAAATGTAACAGATTTTAATAACACTCGCTTGGGCTAGTTAGTGCATTGTATCAACAAAAGATATCCAGCCAAAAAGAATGAATAAACAGAAAAATACAAAAAAGAAGACTGGAAAGTGGCTAGACTACTCACGAACACGAGGTTCAAGTATGTAAACTCATGCGGTCACATGGTCATTTTGCAATCTCTTTACAAAAAAATTCAAGATACAATAGACAAACGTACAATCACTGTACATAATCTTCGTAATATTATTCACTCAAAATTATAGAAAATATTGCACAAAACTTTTTTTTCTTCCTGTGCAATGCCACAGAGCTATCACAGCAACATGCCTCATCGTACTTTCCATTGTGAAATGATTCAAGTATATAGTATTTCACGTGCCTTTTTTTTTTTATGGCTTCTGCCCCAAATCCTGATTTCATTCAGCACGGGTTTCCGTTTGTAATGTTTACAATGAAGGGCTAAATGCAAGCCTGTTCCTTTCTGCAATGATTTAAAATGTTCCCAGGCCCTAATAGTCACAGAACAACCCGTTTGGCCTATGTAAACCATCCTACAAGTCAGTAGTATTTCATACGCCACGCCAACGACACATTTCATGAAGGTCTGCACATGCTTCGCCTCACTCTGTGGCTTCTTCTTTTGCCTAATGTGTGTGCATAAACCACCCTGCTTCCTTGGCTCGCAAAACACCAAGGGCACGCCACACCTGATGGCAACGTTTTTCAGACCATGCGCAACACGGTGTTTATAGGAAACCATTTGTAGTCACCTATGCGCTGGCGAAGCCTTCGCGTTTTTTCTTTTTTCCTTTCATTTTTTTTTTGTAGCAAAGCTTCTGTTACAAAGGAACAGAACTGGTCTGGGAAAGTCTGCGTTCAGCGGTCTATCGATCTGTGCCCTAAAGCTCGTCTCTAGCATGTGCTAACAGGACTTTGTCAGTGCAGATTCAAGGCAAAGAACGTACAGAACTCGCTAACGTAAAGAATTTTTGGGCTGCAAATGCTGTTTTGCTAAATTAATTTTGAATATGCTGTTCAACACTCAGCTAGATTTGCTCCACAAATTGTCAAATCTGTACGCTATTTGTTCCCAAAAATAAGCTTTTTTATGTCCCTGCTTGTTATGCAAATGAGTTTTGCAGAAACATACGAGGTGGCAGAAGGGTTAAGAAAGGGAAAGAAGACAACCACCCATTCTAGCACAAAGCCACAAGAATATCCGTACGGACTTCTCTGAAAGAAAAGCTTAAGCTTCTTAGTTGCCAAAAAATTTGACCTCGGACCAGGATGAGTTTTTTGGCAGCTAAAAAGCTGTTCTTTAAGGGAGATCTTTTGTTGTGGCTTCGCGTTATAACAGGTGGTTGTCTTCTTTCCCTTTCTTGTCCCTTGTTATGCAATTGAAGGTAATAAAAATATTTGTTGGCATTAACGTCCGAAAACCTTGACATGATTCAGGAACGTCGCATAGAAGGGCTCCAGAAGTTTTGACCATCTGGTGTTCTTTAACACGCACTTAATCTACACATGGGCTACAAACATTTTGCCTCCATCAAAATGCGGCCGCCGCGGCCGGGATTCGATCCCGCGACCTTTGGCTCGGCAGTCGAGCACCACAACCATGGGACCACCGTGATGGCGACTCTGAAGGTAGTAAAGTTGAACCTCCTTCTAAGAGACATGCACCAGGGAGTGATTGCCTTCAACGTGACGTGTCTTTCATAAGCATGTTACTGAGAATGGGTTTTCTTATTAACACCTATTTCAATGTAGACACGCTGGTTTTCTCTTACACCCATCTGTCTGTTAGATGAATGCCTCTAATAAAGGGGTCCCACTGTGTATATTCCGATTAAAAAAAAACAAAGGTTGCATATTTTGACAACTTCTTGCATGCGAAAGTTAATCGGCTTTCTCACAGAAACGAGCTTTCAGACATCAGGGAATTCAACAGAGGCTACTTCGACGAGTGGCAGTGAATAACTTACAGTCAATGCCGGGCCAAAAGAAGGTGCGGCACATGGCGTTGACAACGGGTATGTGTTGTGGCCTCACGTAGCAGAAGTCGATGGGATGCTGCTCGGCAGGCTGCGTTACAGACTCCTCCCTGAACCTGTTGTATGAATGAAAGAGTTTCCTCTAGAAAAGCACATGATCGCAGCACTTGAATATCAGCTCTTGTAGTAAATATTTATCACTCTTGCTTCTTACAGTGATGTCTTAATCCAAGGAAAATGAATGTAATGCATTATCACACATAATTAAATATACATGTAATATAATACAGAGGTATTCTACAGCTAAAATTAAGCTGAAAAGCACACCGACACAGCGTGAAAATTTATTTTCGACCCGTGCACAAATGATTTCATCTCGACCAATTTCATTCGACCAGTTCATAAATATTTTCGACTGATCCCTAAATGAGAACTAGTTTTATTTCAGTAAACAAGCCTGTGAAACTTGTTAAAAAATGAAACTGGCTGCACAAATGTCCACCTATTGCTGTGGCAAGTTTGCTACCTGCCCCTCTGAATGCGACTTGCCTTGCATTGAATCTGTGGGAAAGTATTTCCTCCAGGAGTTTCAGTCTCAAAGGCCTCGCTTCAAAGTCCCTGAAGATGAAGGGCTTCAGTGTTCTGAAAGCAAAAACATACCATGCAGTCTACTTTAGCTAAAGGTATTATTATTGATAATAATGTTAATATCTGGAGTTTTATGCCCCCAAAACCACAATATGGTTATAGCTTATGAGAGATGTCACAGAAGAGGGCTCCGGAAATTTTGACCACCTATTGTTCTTTGACATTCACAGACATCGCACAGCACATGACTATTTCACCTCCACGGAAATGCTACTGCCGTGGAGTGAACCTTCAGGTCAGTAGCCAACCACCCCTGGCCCACCACAATGGACCCTAGGCTTTCAGGCTATGCCCATTCCAAAACAACGCGAATGCCTGTAACACTGATTGCACTCCAAGTGTCCATCCACAGGGGGGATACTTAATTGACATACCATCAGAACTGTGACTAAGTCAAACAATCATGTGCCATTGGCTGTTGCCAATTGAACAGTGTTTGAATAGAGCACCTGAATAGAAAAACTGAGCTAATGTGCAGAATATGACATATCGACTTCCTTTTTCTCCCGTTGATGCACCAGGAGAGTGGCACATTCCATATGTAGTGCAGTTAGAACTTAATCCAATGAAACCTAATTTATAAAGTTCCCACACTAATATAAAAATTTTGATTTCTTGGCGAGTGTCCACAGGGTTCAGTGTTGTTGCCAATCCGAATGAACATAGCAAGCTTAGCTCCAAACTAGGTATTAGCAAGTTTTTTTTTTAAACAAGTGAGCGAAATGCTGTGATTTTTGTTATAATTCTGACGCACATGAGTTTTTCTTTGAGGGCGCGTTTTTAATGCTGTTATGTTGAAACTAGGCTTGTGTAAATAGTAAACTTCAAGTTCGAAGCAAATGGTGATTCAGTTAAAATAACTTCAAATCAAATTCGAATAGTACATATCTCATATTATAAAGAAAAATGAGCATATTTGTCATGACCCAACTAACCTGCACAATATTTTTTTCTTGGATTGAAACAAGGCATGTGCAAATGTCATTCTTTTTGGTTCAAAGAAAGTGGAAGCAACTTTGAATAGTAGCAGGATTTGACTTTTGGTAAAATGTAGGTGATACTACATAAAACATTTTGTTTTAAAGTTTACTATACTTGGAGCACATAAGTCGGTATAAAAAGCTTTTTAACTTAAAAAATAATGAATCGATGCAAGGGTAATATGTTCATTTAACTTTGAAATGAGGCTTTGCGGCAATGCGAATTTTTTCTAAAAAGGTGTAATTACGGTACAGCACCACTTCACTGCAGTGAAATGACCTTTACAGGGTGTAACATGTGGACTAATATACATTTTGTATTCGTTCATTTCGATAGATATATATATGGGGTTTAACGTCCCAAAATTACCATATGATTATGAGAGACGCCATAGTGAAGGGCTCCGGAAGTTTTGACCACCTGGGGTTCTTTAACGTGCACCCAAATCTGAGCACGCGGGCCTACAGCATTTTCGCCTCCATCTAAATTGCAGCCGCCGCTGCCGGCATTCGATCCCGCAACCTGCAAGTCAGTAGCTGAGTACCTTAGCCATTAGACCACCGTGGCGGGGCTCATTCATTTCGAATGCACTAGACTCTCAGTAAACGAAAACCTGTTCAACGGAGCTATTGCTTAAATGGAACAAGTGCTTCTTACAAGATTGGATTCGTTCTTGTATTCTTCACACCTGATCATCTCTTATGAAACGAAACTCCTCTTGAATAGAACATAATTTCCTGGTCCCTCTAGGTTTCATTTAATGAGAGTGTACTGTACTTCTAAATTTTCAATAATTTAAGTTCAAATCGCAGCGAATTCCAATACTATAATACTCGTTCGAATATTTGATGTGCTCGAATATTTGCACAAGCCTAGCTGAAACGTATAGCTTCCCTTGTCCCGACCCTAAGTTTCATTCGATGAAGCATTGTTAAAAGTGAACTTGTGAGTGCATGTCTCTCTTCTCTTGCGACCTTCCGACAGAACATTCTCTGCAGATTAGAGATGGCCTTCTTTATCTGTTTGAAAGCATGAATGAGAGAGTGATTGTCACTGTTTATGGTTTCTGAGCACTGCGCTGCTTACCTTTGGGTGTATGGGCTGACTATGCACTCCAGCTGTTCCTCTTCCAGGCCAAGTATGCGGGTCACGAATGAAACGTGGCTTTGAGCTCCCATGCGAGCTGTTCCTATAGTCACCTGGACAGTTAGAGGAGGGAGTCAGACATCATTCCTGACTCCTTTTTAAAGAGAAGGCTCCAGCTCAGATCTGAGAGTATTAAGATATAGAGGGGCGAAATGCGGAAAGGTTTTTTATGACGGAGCTGCTTAAGGTTTTCATCCTATCGTTGCACCAACCACGTGAAATGCAATGACTCGGCTGGCACTCTTGCTCATCATTCCATTCTTCATCCTAGGATTGATGATAAAGACAGTTTGGCCTCGGCAACATACATTTGAGAAATGAGGTTTATTATAATAGGTTTTTCTGTGTCAGCCTAATAACTAGGTAGATAATAAGGATAGTAACAAGCACACTCATTGAGGCTGATGCAATGGATGTGCAATGCAGGAGTTCCTTCAATGCATGTGCTTTTTGAAGAAAACTAAACAGAAGCATCGAACAGGTAAACAGAAGAGAAAGGAGAGAAAGAAATAGAGAGAGGAAAGAGAAACTGACAGTTAGAGGGAGAGGAGCTCACTCATGAAAGTAATGCTAATTAGGATAATGCTAATTAGGACATTGTTGAACAGGACAATGTTAATAAAAACCTCATCGATAATGTAGATTGAGCACAAGCCACGCTGTTAGACCAGCCTTGCATTGCTAGTAAAAGCTGCCCATGTTTTTTACAAAATAATTTATAAGCTGAATTCTGGGGTTTTACATGCCATGACCACAACATGTACAAGGCACTTATAAGTGAATTGAATTTCAGCAGCTGAGGGCCAGCCATCAGAAGAGCACAGAATACTCTGTGTTGTAGCATACCCCGCAGCAAAAAGAAATTTGTAGAATAATTAAATTAAATCTTCATCGGTAAACAAAATATCGCAAAATAATTTCACAGTAGTACAAAGACAGGTGCATGCTTACGAAGAACCAAACCATGCGATCCTGCAAATGCAACAGTGTAAAGATTAGAATGAATATCATTCTGTATTATATATAATTTTTAATTACAGGAACTGACCAGGCCGACATGACATCATCTAAAACTATACACACACTAACCTATAGTATCTGCCTATAATATTTTGTGAAGACAAAAGAATTCATTATAAAATTTACAGACTATTACAGTATTAAACTTGAGCTGCTTTTGAGGAGCTGGCAAGGTACTATAAAACACTGCGTGATGGCACAGTAGTTGCAAAAACACTGAAAAGAAAAGCAAGTGATGTTTTACAATCTCTTGAATAATAGACTACGTATAATGCGAATAGCATACGGTGCCTGCCTTCAATAGGAGTTCAGTGCAATAGCTACAGTCGGTTAACAAGTTAAGATTGTTTGCAAAGTATGTGTCAGCACATCAAACCTCATTATGAGTTTTATCCAGCACGAAAATAACCTCCTTAGTATATGAGATATTGATTTGAACTATATTTGGTGATACAGCAATACTTAGAAAGAGCACGTTACATTTGTTGTGCTCATCTTCGTCGTAAAAGTCTTTACATGTCTTTACACAAGACATGTAAAGAATTCTTAACTAATCGTTCGCAATCAGTTTCCGTCAACAATCAAATGTCTAACACTACCCCCGTAACCTCAGGTGTCCCTCAAGGGTCTGTCCTAGGCCCGCTTCTGTTTTTGATTTACATTAATGACCTACCATTACATGTATCTTCTAACATACGCATGTTTGCAGACGACTGCGTTATTTATCGTAAAATAAACAACGTTTTGGATAACACGTCTCTTCAAACTGACTTACTAAGCTTACAGGATTGGTGTAACCTTTGGCTAATGGAACTCAACCCTAACAAATGTAAAACTGTTTCCTTTCACCGCCGTCGAAATCCGATAGTATTCCCGTACCAAATTGCTGACAAAAACCTCGAATTAGTTTCTTCCTATAAATATCTCGGAGTAACCCTTCGTAGCGATTTAACCTGGGCAACGCATATTACGAACATCATTGCATCTGCTAACAAAACACTCGGGTTTTTAAAACGCCATTTGCGTCATGCTCCTAATAATGTCAAATTACTAGCTTATCAATCTCTCGTAAGGACGAAGATAGAATACGCATCAGCCATTTGGAGCCCGCATCAAGCATATCTCATCAATCAACTCGAGTCACTTCAAAATCGAGCCACACGATTTATTCATTCTACGTACTCTTACGACGTCAGCATATCAGCACTGAAAACAGAATCTGGCCTATCATTGCTTGCATCTCGTCGCCGCATTTCTAGTCTCTCCCTTTTTCACAAGTTTTTTTACAGCTCACTCGGCAGGCCACCATACATTCTTCCTCCGGCACGCATCTCCCATCGCACTGGTCACCCGCAACAAGTTGAGCGGCCGCGTACGCGCGCCGTCACTTTTTCGTCCTCATTCTTTTTTCGTGCAGCTACGGACTGGAACGGCCTTTCTAACCAAATCACCGCCATAACCTGTCCTACCACTTTTTTGAACACCGTAACAAATTACCTTGCATTGTAAAAAAAAAATGGCTTTCACGTTTTCATATATGTACCCACCCCTTATGTAATACCCCTTCAAGGGGGTCTTTAAGGTAATAAAATGAAATGAAATGAAATGAAATGAATCTGATGTTTTTTTTTTGTTTTTTTCCTTGTATAAGGTGTGCAACTTGTGACACCTACCTGAAATCGGTCCAGCACGTCTTTAGTGTTCCGTCTAGGCCGGTGAACTTCCTGTACCGACAGGAAAACAACAGTACATGTACTGACCGTGCCAAAATTCGCGATAGACGATCTGCCACTCACTAGTCCGAAAAAAAAAAAAAAGTTAATGCGCTAGCCTAACAAAACCAGCTATAGATAACGAACTGCTCCACTGCTTGTGAAAAGTGCTTCTGTTGAGGCCTTTCTTTTTTTTTTCCTTTCCTATGCATTGCTCTACAATTGTGGACAACTTTACAAAGTGATGAACAGAATATGAAGGCAGAGTACAGATATAAACTGGCTCTTGCATGAACCCCCTCATTTCACTAGTGTTCACTTAAAATGGGAACATAAGTTTCTTATTGTGGTCGAGAGTTATATAGTCAGGTCAGGTAAAGTCATTGTTCAAAGAACAGGTCACTGAGCAATGTCGAAACAACAGAAATATGACATTTCGGGATCTGTAAGGCTCCCTTGTTTACCTTGAACAAGATATCCGCACGTATCCCGAAACGTCATGTTTATTTTGTTTTGACATTGGTCTAGTGACCTGTTTTTTCAACTAATTCCCTATCACAAGCACCGAAGAATGCCAAAATGCATTACTGAGGCTCTCCCATTCACCCAAAGGTGAACGATTTTTATTCTTGTCAAAACTTCCCCCTTTTTTTGTCCGCACTTGTGCCAAAGTGAACCTTCTGCACAAATAGGCCTGTCCATTCAGTATGAGTTTAAGAAAATTGATTGATTTGTGGGGTTTAACGTGCCAAAACCACCATTTGATTATGAGAGACGCCGTAGTGGAGGGCTCCGGAAATTTTGACCACCTGGGGTTCTTTAACGTGCACCCAAATCTGAGTACACGGGCCTACAACATTTCCGCCTCTATCAGAAATGCAGCCGCCACAGCCGGGAATCGAACCCGCGACCTGCGGGTCAGCAGCCGAGTACCTTAGCCACTAGACCACCGCGGCGGGGCTGAGTTTAAGAAAAAAAAAAACAATAGACATAGCAATGTCATGTCAAACACTGTCAGACTACTCATTGTAACATGTGAGAAGAAGCAAGCACCCCTTCCCTGCTGTAGGTTTTCTTGGGAGAGTTCCACTTGTTTGGCCTGCTTGGTATCTATTTATTGCCAAGGTACTGCGAAATGTCGAGAGGACGAGGACAGAACTGAACATACGCAAGTGCAAGTTTTCAACTGGATTCATTGGATGAAGAAATTATGCTTTTATATATACCGTATTTACGCGATTGTAGGTCGACCCATTTTATCTAATTTAGAAATCAGAAGTGGGGTAGTTGACTTGCAATCAAAATTGAGACTTAGTAGGCTAGTGCGAATAGTGAATTGGATTCAAATAATTTTAAATCGAATTCGAATACTATCTATGACATGTAATAAAAATATGGGCACATTTGTCATGAGCTAAATAGCTCGCAAAAAAGTTTTTTAAGAATTGAAACAAGGCCCGTGCAAATGCCAAACGCCACCACATTATCGTGCCCAGCAACCAGCTTGCTTTAATAAGACTTTAGCTCGCGTATGCTATTTCGGCACTGCAAGTCTAAATGTCTTGTACAGATCAGTGCTCATTGATGTATTGCTCTCAAAAGTTGTTCAGTCAGCCTGTCTGGTGGGTGCATTTCTCGCCACATGTGAACGGAACCTTGAGCACCACTTTTTGGACACAGTCCACAACCCGTTGCTGTGGTTAGTTGAGCAAGCCCATTCATTTTCGTCAAATTTTTTTCTCCAGCATAGCATAAGTGGCTTGTGGTATTGTAAGCTTTTTTTTATGTAAACATATAAACGCTTCGATGTTATAGCGACCACACGAGTGTGTATGGCACTGTGTCTGTGATTAGATGTGTATATCGAGAAGTGGCTCAGGGTACATCACATACGCACCCGTATAAAAGCATCATTTGCGCACCGAATAAATCCAGTTGTAAGTTTGTGCTTGTGTTTGTGCAGTTCTGTCTTTGTCCTTTAAGTGGTGTGCAATAATGTAGCAATGTGCAGGTTTTCATTAGTTACAGCACAACACTGCATTCAGGCAGTACATCAGCCAGTTGCACTATACCAGCAAAACAAAACTTTGTGGATCCTAGCTGTCTTGAAACAAAAGTGATAAAAAAAAACTACATGTTCGGCACAGTGCGCAAGTTCTACACGCATGCCCTGTGTGAAATGTGGCACTCTCATGTGCGCAACGGTGTTTTGAGTGCAACACAACTAGTACTCAATCTGAGCAAGCAACGACAGCTAGACTCTTCACTTACCTGTTGCGAATCCTTGTGCGGCTGACGCGAGAGCTGGTCAGCTAGGGCATCAAGGTCGAAAACTGGAATGTTGCGAGCCCGCTTGATCTACACAAGACAAAAAAAAAAAAAAAAGGAACAACTTAGAACAAGCAGTCAATCCACAAGTTGAATGGCCATTGGTTGCTAGGTATACCAGAAATAAGACTGCTGCTGGTACCCAGGTAGAATTCATAGTGAAAAATGCGTCAGATCCACTAAACAGGTCGATTATATTTACCTATCCTAAAACCCTGAGCAAGTGCCCCTAACCCTTCTATGCGAGACTTCAATTATGAATCCCCTTCTCCTCTCCCACCATTTTCACTATTTAAATCACCGTTTTTACTCGTCTGACGAGAACGAATGAAAACAATGAATGCATGTGCATTCAATAAAGCATTTCTTTAAAACCTGCATTTATTCTTTATTGTTAGCAGCTCTTCTGTTGCCAACTTGAATTTAGATCAATGACCGATCCCCCTATAAACCTTGTCTAATTATATTTCACCATAGGGAGGGTGCTCGCCCTGGATTTTACGGCATATGTTGTTCAACCTTCCACAGGAGGGACAGGCTGCATACATTACCATCAGATATCCTTAGAAAAGCAGCCAACCTGCATTCTAAGGCTTGGATGTTGTACCTATTCTAAAGAAGATAATTTTTTTTCTTGCTGCTCAGAATCCTTCGAGACTTGCCCCTATGTCCTCCATTCATGACAAACGTACAAGCCTCAACCAGTTGCATGCAGAAAAAAAAATGTTCGCTTTCAAAATCATTAAAAGTTCCCAGCCCAAGTCCACATCAGTCTGGTCTGAGAAAGCTGTACTATACTTGTGGACAAGAAATGCTTGTTTTCTTACCTGCCTGACAAGAAGCTTCCTTCTGAGCCTCTGCGCTTCAGGGGGGAGAGAAATCTTCTGGGCATACTTCTCTATCTGGCTCAGCAGTTGGTGTTCTTCGTAGATGCTCATTGGGACACACCTACATAATGGATAACAGAGACAGCACCAACCCACTCGTTAGGCTTGTGTTGGCTAATGCTTTAAGCTTGGCGGCAAGCATTAAGGTGTCGCAGTGTTACGACAACAAAGCACACAGCAGCAAAGATGTTATTTAATGACGGAGTCCTGCAATTAGGGTAACACTCGTAATGTAACGATAAGAAAAAACACAGTCGTTCGCGGTTGAAATGTGCCAGATGTGAAATTTGACAGATGAAATGCATCGAAATTTTTATACACATATTGTTATACTACCCAGCATAATCGCTAGTGCTTACATATATTCCAACGTGTACACTATGTATAATTCTTGTGCCCATGTATTCTTATTGCAGACAGAATACTCGTGTAAAGAATCAACGATAACGTTCCGAAAGGGTCTGATACCCAAAGGTCTGCCTCGCACCAAATGATAGCAATTTGGTGGCTCTTAGCAGTTGAAGAATGGTCACCAAGGAAAAGACAATAAGTATGCGTGTCTATGGGACATAGGACATTTAGCGCGATCATGCATATATTGCACCACCTGTAAGTTGAGAAAAGCACCTTCCACTTTAATGGTGAAGTCCTCAAAGACTAAGTTGTTTTATAGCATTGAGAATTTGACGAGACACTTTCAGAAGTGCAGAAGTCTTTGAAACTTGAGTAACTCACTGAAATAAGCAAGATAACTTACGAGGAGTACAACGATTCCAACAAAAGTACCCAATTTGGAAGAAGGCGTCACTTAAAGACTAAGTCCAGCTACCATGTGTAAAGGAAAACTTAACTATGGAACAGAATAGAAAGTTGGGCGAGTTGGTGTATATTCATAGTTCTTTTAATATGACTTAACTATGGAGATTCACACGAGAGGCTTCAAGTGAGGCACACTCAGCTCTACCTCCTGCTTTGCGTTACTTCCAAATTTTCAGCATCCTTTGTTCACAGCGGAACTGCGAGGCCTCGATGCAATGAAACGAGATATACTGAAGTAAATGAGGATTTTTGTAGCCACTGTTAAAAAACAACTGGTTTAAGTTTATAATGAATATTGGATATACTGATACCTGTGTTGAGTTGTGTTGGATAAAACTTAGGCTGGCGCAAACATTACTTTTTTGGTTCGAAGCAAATGGCAACTAGCATGGAATCATTTCGAAGTGAATCTAAATTATACCAAGATTGGGATAGTGGTAGGTTGAAAATTATAAATGGTAGAATATGTCACGTGCTAAAGTTTGCCACACTTCACATCATATAACAAGCTTTCAACTTGAAAAATGTATAATCTTGGCATACATAATATGCACACTCACCCTTGCAATGTGGCAGCGTGGGTTTCTCCTGATAAATGTTTCACAATGTAGCAACCTGCTACTGCAGTGAAACTGCCTTTTTAGGATGGTTACATTTGACAAATTGTGTTCATTCGATCATCTCAAATACTTCTAAAATTTCCTAAATTTTAAACTTGTTTCACAGCAAATCCAAGTAATGTAATGTCCATTTGAATGCTCGAAGTGGCCGAACATTTGCACATGCATAGAGTAGTTCACTTTAACGAGATTTGACTGCATACATGTAAAGTAAAAGCTTGGTCATTTAAACTCAAAGAGGGTTGTAAAATTGTTCCAATTAAGAGGAGTTTGAATCAGCGGGAGGGCGCTCAAATGAATGGACACTGCACCACAGTGTGCGGGCAGAACCCTTAGGAACCACCTCTAGACTCGTCTTCACGAACTTGGTGCTACTACACATTTGAGGCAGGCCATTCCATAAATTAAGTTCGTGCAGCTCTAACAGTGAACCGAATGAACTGATCAGTCAGTGACACACCAGAAACAAGCACCAGCATGCGTTCATGTGAGCAGCGAGCCTTAACGTGAAATATATCGGGCTATTTATGGCCAAAAACACATTTATTTACACGAATGTGTCGATGCAATTAAAATAAAAATGAAAAGAAATCAGTAATTGGCATTTTCGCATATATATTCTGTCATGACTCCATGAGCATAGCTTGTCCAAGCTTGCCCAAGAGTTTGAATGCAGGGTCCAAATTCCCACCTGCTGAGAATTGCTTTGTTGTAGAAGATATTTCATTATATCCCGGTTCTTTATATCAATGTTTGAGTGTATAGCTTTCTCAGACTTACTTTGGCTTTTTGGGTGCAGCTTCTTCTTTGATGGTGGCCTGCAGCCCTCTCTCGTCCATCCTGTGCTTTTTCGCGGTACCCGATGCACGCGAGTGGGATGTCTCTGTCGAGCTGCTCTCTGCGTCGCTCACTGGTTCCTCTTTGATGCTCATCATTGACCCTTCGTCGTCATCCATATTACCTGCTACGACTTCTTCAGTTGCAGCCACATTGCCTGTTGAAGGACAAAACCAGGCATGTGCAAAACATTTGGGCACTTCGAATATTCGAAAGAATATTACAGTTTTCAAATCTCTTCAATTCGAACTTAATTTCCAGGAATTTTGAAGAAGTATTCAAAATGAATGAACATATGTACACACGAACCTTGATATAACGAACCGAGATATAATGAGATGGCGATTATAATGTAGTATATGAAAAGTACTCTTGCAATATACCTACATATATGTAATGTTAGAACTATGCTTTTATAAAAAAATTTTGAATACTGTATAACATATTTTTGTGTAAGATGCAACTTTGTTACGATGAGCTTTGAGTGTATACACTACTTCGCATGTAACCCCCTGTAAAGGTGGTTTCACTACAGTGTAAATGTGCTGCATTGTGATTACACTTGTCCAAAAACTGCTGCGAAGCTTCACTTCGAGGTTCAATGAACCGATTACCCTCTCATCGATTCAACCTTTTTTAGCAGTTCTAAAAGCTTGTTATAACAAGTTTAGTGCTCTAAGTATAGTGAATTTCAAAACACATTGTGCTCTACAGATTATCGCTTTCATTCATTCTACCGAAATTCAAATCCTGCTTTTCAATGTTGCTTTCATTTGCCTTTGCACCAAGAAGAATGACATTTGCATATGCTGTGTTCCAATTGTAAAAAAATATTGTACAGGTTTGTTGGCTCATGACAAATATGATCACTTTTCTGTATAATATATGGTACCTACTATTCGAACTTGATTCGGAATCATTCGACCAAACCACTATTTGCTTCGAACCTAAAATTTGCTATTTACACATGCCTAAACAAAAGCAGTCTTCCCTACACTTATCCAGGACAATAGCGGCTAAAATGACAGCTTCATTTTGTGGCCACGCTGGTTTCGTTTAAATAGGAGTAAAACGCGAAAAACATCATCCCTTAGATTAGATTAGGGTGCACGTTAGAGAACCTGTCAAAATTCTCACCATGACGACATGTTCTGGCACATAATGTCCCAGAATATACAGTGGACTTTCAGTAAACGGAAATTCGTTTAACAGAACTGCTGCTTAAATGCAACAAATGTTTCTGGCAAGATTGGTTTCGTTTTTGCATTGTGTGCCCCTGCTTATCTCTCAGTAAACGAAACTCCTGTTAAATAGAACACATTTTACCGGTCACCTTAGGTCCCGTTTATTGAGAGTCTACTGTGATTTTCTTTTTCACAGATAGGTTACTGGGTTTCTTTCAAAGAAGTTCTCAAACTTCTGTCACAAACTGTGTCACACTTTAGCACTTCTACTCTATAGAAGATGAGGGACAGTTGCCTAAGGCTTGTATTTTCAAATGGATGTGACCAGTGTGTGCTGCGTGAATGTGTATGAGGATGAATTTCGTTAAACAAGTAACTTATCAATATTATAAGTGTGACGCATTGTATTAAAACTTGAAAGATACACTTCCCGGACAATATCTACTCAAAGCTGTCCGTGGTTCCTTCAATACTGCGAGTATTTGATAAATATTCAAGCAATATCCACGCAGACTATTTCTCACAGCAGCGTGAAAACAAATCAACGATTACGACGCTCCATATAATGCGAAATCAGAGTGCAAGCAGACTGCAGGTTTTGGCAGCGCTGAACCTCTGCTCGAGCAGTTTGTTTAGCAGCAGTGGCAGGTGAAGTATTCCCGCCAGTTGCGTCCAAACTGCATCAATCAGCCAAGTTCCGCCAACAACATCTTGTAGTAAAAGGATTGAATGGGTGAAAACGCAAGGTGGGTGCACTTTGCAGGAGCGAAAAGGGTCATGTTCCCATACGAAAAATTGAAAACCATAGCAGCAGCAGCGTGAACTCTCATGCTACTGTGCACTAGAACTCTAGCTGCTCTCTGTGTTCCACGGGCTGCGCATTGCACTCGCTCTCGTTCGTCTTCCCTGTTGCGGAGCGTTCACTCACGGCAGAAGCCATGGCAAACACAAGCTTCCATGCTCTGTATTCCACGAGTGGCACTTGCCCGTTCTCCGGGCCAATCACTCGCTTGGCTGGGCACTGATAGGACATGCAATTGTGTGCGTTAAAGGCTCGTTCACGCCGAAGGTGAAGTGTCAAGGCAGGAAAGCGAGCTTTACGAAGCAGTGAGGCGGCGAGTGCGAGCGAGCACCTGTTCATATCGCATGCTTCTTTGGCTGGCAGAGGAAGTGGGGCATCTTTGCGATTTAGCGCCCATGTCACTGTCAGGTGGCAACGTTTCTCCCAAAGATACACCAGCGCCTGCCGCTGGTGGCCTTCCGATTGGCTGCGGCAAAACGGTGACCTGCGGCGGGTGGCGGAAAATCGGTCACCTGGGTGATCTAGCTCACCATCTTGTTTTCCCCCTAACTTTCTTTCCGGGCGCCTTCACCACTCGGAAAGAAGGCTTCCCTGCTTTCTGCTTTCCCTCTTCTGCCACGTAGCCTTCGGGGTGAACCAGCCTTAACCCTCTTTCACTACCATTGTACAGTATAGTCGTCACGAGATTTTGTAACAAAATGACCAATGACAGCTATACCCGTCATCAACAAAAATCGGTCCCACACGCAACCAATGAAGGCTACTCTCGTCATACCCATGCTTGTTGACACTAGATTGCCACACTTGCCCATGTCGGGTCATTTGTGTCTCGGCTTTCTATATAATGCCACTTTTCATTGCACTGCCATCTGGTGAAGCCACCTGCGTGTTGTCTTTTTGTACACGATTAGTGAAATAGAGGAACCCCATTGAATTGAAACAATGGTACCACTTTATTCAGTGGGAAAAAAATCTTTAAAAAATTGACCCAGAAAGAAGTTTTCAGTAATGTTGGCACATTTTTTACAGTATGAAAAGAGTCATGGGCTTCGCTCTAAAATATGGTGTGCAATGATGAAAGTAGACAGGGTGCAAATGACTGTCAGCTAAACTGTCACTGATAAGAGGAGAACACACATTAGGGAATACACACAAGTGGCATTAAAAAAAATTGGTGAAGAATTTATCAACAGAAAAACACACGCAGAACAGTTACTCAATGTTGATGTTTAAATAACAATTCTTGTTCTTTCATAGGGTGATACTGGTCTGGCTTACACAAGATTTGGTTTGATTGTAAGATGTTATGCTCAAGTATTTTTCTCATGTCTTGATGGCAATGCCAGATAAATATAACAGTATTCTCAATAAAAAATAAAAATAAAATAAAAACACAAAGCAGAGCCACATGAATGGCTATAAACAGCAAAGTACAAACATTACTGCATTAAAAGTCTGCTCAATGATGTACACTCAAACATAGATATAATGAAATACTGATTATGACAAAGAAAGTGAAGGATAGTCTAGCTATAGATACAATACTGGAAATATACCTTTATAACAAATTTTCGGATATAACAAACTTAATTCTGTGTAAGATGCACTTTGTTATAATGAGGTTTGAGTGTACTGCCTTTTTTATTGTCATTTCCTGTCTTGTCACGGTGTTCTGAGAATGAACCAATGCCAACTTGTCAAGTTTTGATATTACTACAGTGGAACCTTGATATATCGAACGGCGCGGCGATCGCGAAATAGTTCGATATATCCAGAATTCGATATAAAAAAAATCACAAAACAAATGCGTCAACAGCTTGCTGATAACGACCAACGAACCGTTCAAGCGTGGTGCTGTAAATACCGTATTTACTCGCATAATCGGCGCACTCGCATAATAGGCGCACCCCTAGTTTGGTTGCGGAAAATTCGATTTTTTTTAATTCCGCGCATAATAGGTGCACCCCGAACTTGGCCGTGATCAGAAACGATTCTACCCCCCAGCGGTACAGTTGGAACGCAGCCCCCGTACCCTGAAGAAAAAAAGAAGGCAAATCGACGAGCAAATAAAAAAAATTCGAAGTGAAACGACCAAACCAACGTGTCTGTCGAAATAAAACTTGAAAAAAAAAAAAAAAAAAACGGCTGTTCCATCAATTACTGATACCCCCCAAATCGCCGCGCTTTTTGGAGGTCACTGTGTACAACGCCGGGGGCTCGATCGTCATCACCACCATCAGAGAAAAAGAAAGAAACGCCATTTTGCAAGCAGGTGTGCGTATGTTGTGGTCGTGTATTGAACTTTGGTTCCATCATAGGGAAGTACGCGAGCTACACGGCTGGGTTTAAACTGAAGGTAGTGCAGTACGCACTGCCTTCGTGTGGCAGGCGATCTCCGACGAAGTCGTCAGGAAAAGCTTCAAGAAGACGGGTATCTCGAACGCACTGGATGCGAGTGAGGATGACATGTTGTGGGGTGCGGATGATTCGGACACGGAAAACGAATCCCCGCTCGGCGAGGATGAATGTGTGATCTCCGACTCGGACTCCTAATAGGGAAAAGGAGGAACAGCTACGACTTTTGTGTAAATAAATTTTACGTGTGTGTGTGCAGTTGACGGCTCTCGCTTGTTCATGAAAAGGTACGTAGGTATGTTTGTTTTATGCTGAATTAATTGGTAAACGATAAAGTCGCCTTTTACTTGACAAGTGTGCAGATTTAAAGCGCGAGAACCGAGTTGAAAAAATTTTCGAAAATTTTACCCCGCGTAATTGGCGCACCCCTAACTTCGAGCCGGATTTTCTGAAAAAAAAAAGTGCACCTATTATGCGAGTAAATACGCTACTCACTTGAAGATTCAAACATAGTATTTATTGTGTTGGTTTAAAATATTGAAAAAGAGTAGCCTGCTTTTTGTTGGCCATGGCAAGTTTGAGGACTGCGTCCTCAATATAGTTCAGGCGATCCATAAGTGATAGGCCGGTGCCTTCAATAGCGCCGCAGTGGCGGCGCACAAGTGCCAAGGCAGCTACAACCTCAGCTGATGTCGGGAGCGGCGGGGACCATCAGCGCTTGCGGGATCCATCTCGGCAGAGTTCTCATTTGGCAGAATTTTCGATATTGTTGCGTACATGCACGAAGAAAAAGAAGCGTATACGGTGAACGCACTG